GTTCTCCTGCCTCTGATCCCAACCCATGTATTCCTCAATCTGGTTCCCATCTGCTGCTGAGTCCAGTCTGGGACATCCCGGTGACTGCCCTGCCGCATCTGCGGTGCGAGCCACCGCGGCACACAATTCCGTGATGATCATTGGGAAGCTCAATATTGGTTTTGTATAGATTTTCTTTTTTCACTATTATTTCTATTATTAGTATTATTATACTCTTTTTCATTGTTACTGTTTTATTAAAGTTGTCTCAGTTTTCCAACCCCTAAGTCTCTCTTCCTTTTCTCCTTTCCTTTTCCTTCTGGGGAAGGAAGGGGTTAATAGAGAGCATTTGTCATCCACTTTAATTGCCAGCCCAGCCTTAAATGGTGACAGCACGTTAGTGTAAATATCTACAACTTTCCTTGGGCTTCATCTATCTTCTATTTTTTTTTTAAATTGCAGTATTCATTAAGTGTTTAATTTTACGAGAGCCACATGAAGCACAAGTTTCTTTTAACACAACACCAATTTAGAACACGCCTGCTGCTTACTTGCTCACTGAAGGAAGATGAAGTATGAATTATCTTGCTGTGATTTTAAATCTCCTACCCGCAGTTCCTTACCCCAGATGATCTACAGCAGAAATAACCCAGGCAACTGATTTGGCTTAAATGTCCTCAACAAAATCTGACATTTCCACCTTCTTTCTGCTGTGTATCAGCTTTGCTGTAAGAAGTGACACCCAGTGAGGAGCTTAACTGAAATCATCCAGACTCTAAAGTGCAGGTTGATTTGATCAACATCCCTCCGCCACCAGATTTTAACATTAAAGTTCACTGCAAATTGCTTAGACTCTCCTTGACACCATTTTACATACTAGCAACGTGATGAGCAGTTTTACCTGGTACAGGCTGGCAAGGTGGTGTTTAGTTTTGATCAGAAAGGGTTGGTTGACCCCTGGATGATCCACGTCATGAGCCGCAGCAGCTAGCAGTCCGAGCATGATGTCCGATGGGGTGAGGAAGTTGGCAAGCTGAATCACACGCGTTAATCACAAGAACAGGAACAGTAAACACTTTTTTTTTTTCTTTTGGCAAATAAACAAACCAGATGACATCATGGCATTGCTCAGTTTTGTAGGCATTTGTACACAAATGTCAAATATAAAATAAATCCTGTGAAGAACGTTTTTAAGGTGACTGCTGAACAAACATCTATAAAGATATCAGACCATATAGTCATATTTTATTACAGTTTATATTTCTTATCTCTTTATCATTCATGGCAATATAAGGATTGTTGTTACAGAAGTGCTTGAGCATAGTGTAAAAGATTCAGTTTAAAAAAGTAAGTATACTAGCAGGTCGGCATATGTTAGCACACATGGTAAGAGCTCTGCCTCATACAGTATTTAGCAATACCAACAATACATCAGGCTTCATTTTTCTAGCACAGCACTGTGTTGCAAAATGCAGAGTTTATGAACTTTTGAAATCTCAAACTTGGCTGTTAGATATCTCAGTTCAAATACAGGTATTTTATTAGAGAACATAAGTTACCTTCAGACATCGAAGTTTGAAAACCTGCCCAGATTTTTTTCTTCTATACAGCTTATCATTCAGAAGAAAATTTTGTTATCATTGGAAAAAAAAATAGGAAGTCTTAGCATTTTGTGTTTCTGAGAGTGAGGCAGTTATTACCAGCCCAATGAGCCTGTACAAAGTACAGGTCTATGAGCTGAAGGAAGCATCCCAAGACGAGAAACGAAAAGCAGTATGGTACAGATTCTGGATGTTGGCTGTCCTCCGTGCTTCCTGACAGAAGGGACTTGCAGATCTTGCAGGAGATGGAAATACAGGAAAGCTGGGGCCTGCTCCTGTCCTCACTTACCATTACTATATTTTGGTCTAACAATTTGCTAATTCTAGCAGAACTTCCTTTCATTTAAGTCAAGTCAGGAAAGATTAGTTCTATCCTTACCCGGTGGCTCAGCATTACAGCATTACAGCACCTTCCAGTAACAGATGAAGCAACGTCACACCCTCACGTTGTGAGGGCTTTGCTGCAGCCGTCAAAAGCTGCTGTCCACTCCGGCGGAGTGAACAGACCCAGTCGAAGGGACCGTTTTCCCCTTCCCTGCTGTTGCCCTGCCCAGTCTGGTATTTTGAAATACTGATGTAAGGGGCTTACGCCCTGAGGTGACTGCGGCACGAGCAGGCATTGCCTTCTGCTGGCTTTGGTGGGAGGACAGCAGCCACTGGTGGGTGGCTGGTACCCACGGTCACGGTAGCTGGAGCTCACATGACAGCACTTGGATACCTCGCCTGCCTGATGAGAAGTGACTCCAGCGGCTTGTTTGAAATGTCTGTCATCTGCAGCTGACTCTGCTACAGACTTATTGCTGAGTTCAAGCACGCAACCATTTTCCGCTATCTAAAAATAGCTTTTTTTCTTTTTTTTTTTTCAATCCTGGAAAAAAAAATTAGATAATTATCTGAAAGCACCATCAGTGTGAAAGCTTGTCATTACCTTGGGCTCCCTCAGATAGCAGTGCATAGCTTGTGTGACATCAGCAGCATGGACAGCATTGTGGTATGGGTTCTGGCTATGGTAATCTTCTTGAACCATAACTGGGAACCAAAACAGAAAACAAAGATCCTTTTGTTTCTGAATGCCAGGGCTACAAGTGAGAACTGGATTTAAAACACAATTTGAGGTTTTACAGTCAGCTGCCTAAGGAGTTTCTTCAAATAGCTGTAGCTTAGTGAGACTGGTGCTCTTACTGGGATACCTTTAGAGAAAAAAATGCATGAAAGGATTTGTGAGGCCCAAGGGGATACACTGGGTCGAGTTCATAAATCAACTCTTTCTTGCCTTAGTGAAGGCTCTCATTCAGGAGTAAAATAAATAAGGAAGAGAGGCAAATTTATCCACAACCGAGTGTAATTATTTAGGCTGCTGTCATAGGGGAGTAATATGTCATTAAGGCAGTACCACCTATTTTACAGCAGCAGGGGGTGAGGCCCCGATACCCCG